TACCATCCGGCTATGGAATGAGCTCCCCGCCACGGTGTTTCCCGAGCGCTATGACATGTCCTTCTTCAAACGAGGCTTGTGAAGAGTATTAAGCGGTAGGCAGCGGCTTGGCTCTGCCCCTGGCATTGCTGACGTCCATGAGCGACGGTAACCACTCACCATCAGGTAGGCCGAATGCTCGTCTGCCTATACGGCAATAAAATAAAAAATGAAATGAAAAGGTTTGAATATATTTACTTGTAATAAATTTTTCTAAATTAAATGAAACTCATTTCATTTTCTAATATTCTTTATCGTTAGAATGAAAACTAAGTTTATTGTCGATAAGCGTAAGTCACGTCTTAAACAATTCCCATAAGATTATTGAATTTTTAAATTTAATATCTCGGCGATTTACTTTTGATTCGATCGCGGAATGACTTTCTATTATTTACGATTACTTTATTACATACTCGAACACAGTACAGTACACTGTTTTATATATTTGGTCTAATAATAGATGTATTATCACCGTTACATATAAAATGTATATCTAACAAATGCTACACAAAAATCCACGTTATTAGAAAGAAAATTGCGTTATCCTTGAGTTATGAAGCCCAAATTTGGATTATACATAGCTCAGTGTCCCACCATCCCGAGACAGATCGCGTAGCTGCTTCGCGATAGAAATGGGTAGTTATTTGCTACTTACCCATTGTGGTCTAACAATAATACCTACACCCTACCAATAATTATTACGCAAATCGTATTTTTTACGGGTTCGATATTGAAAACACGATGCTATATGTTAATTGTGGAAGTAATCCGTGCGTATGTGTATAAGTACCTATTATTTTAGAAAAAAATTATACTTGCATGCAGGATTTGAAGAACAGCATGGTCGCATAGCTCGAATGTGCAAAAGGTTTCATGCCCTTTAGGTTACAACGATTACAAACTTTGGGTATATAGGAAAGTGTGTAGTTTTTTTTTAATCCTATAGCTGCCTATCGTATTTCTTATCGGGAATACCAATGTCACCTGTTATTATCACGGGAAAAACCGTTTATTGTTTATCTTCATATTATTGGGGAGAATACCAGCTATTTACCAAAACCTGCGATGAAGTCGTCGAATGGAATGGATTGACGTTTATCACATAACGAGCTGCGCCTGTGGCATCGCCCGCAATAAAATTCAATTTTATATTAGAATACAGAAGCCATAAGAGGATTCAGAAAACCATCTATACATTAAATCATTTTAGCTCAACATGCTTATATAGATTCTCTTTTATTTAAATAGATTTTTTTTATTGCTCATGTGTGTGGACGAACTCACAGCCCACCTGATGTTAAGTGGTCACTGGAGCCCATAGACATCTACAACGTAAATGCGCCACACACCTTGAGATATAAGTTCTAAGGTCTCAGTAAAGTCACAACGGCTGCCCCACCTTTCAAACCGAAACGCATTACTGCTTCACAGCAGAAATGGGTGGGGCGATGGTACCTACCCGTGCGGACTCACAAGAGGTCCTACCACCAGTAATTACGCAAATTATAATTTTGCGGGTTTGATTTTTATTACACGATATTATTCCTTCACCGTGGAAGTCAATCGTGAACATTTGTTAAGTACGTATTTCATTAGAAAAATTGGTACCCGCTTGCGGGATTCGAACACCGGTGCATCGCTAGATACGAATGTACCGGACGTCTTATCCTTTAGGCCACGACGACTATTTCGACACATCTGCCATGTAAATATTTAGAATGTAGAAGGATAAACCTTTAAATGCATACATTTATATTTAGAAAGAACGTTGTATGTATTATATTATGTATGTATGTAGGTAATGGAGTATACTTTTTAGTAATTTAGTGTTATTCGATTCAGTCAAATTAATCTGGGTTTTGTATTGCAATTTATTATTGATTTTTGCGTAAATTATATTTACACAAATAACTAACATTTCTTTTCAATATAGAGTAATAAAGTATGTGTAGTTCTTGTTTAACTACTGCAATTTGTTTTATTATAAACTTATAAATTTATGATTTGATTTGTTTCTAATCGAAGCCCCATGAGCTCGGCCACCAGTCATAGTGGAGCCAGAACCGGTAGCGTGGCATAACTGGCAGTGATTACAGTTCACTGCCAGCTATGCCACGTTAACCTAATAAACTGTAACTAAGCGCACACTGATGATTATTTTGTTATATATTAATATATACACCTACATTAGACGAAGAAGATTATCACCGTTAAGCAGCGTCGGAGATACCTGGACCAATAAACAGACAGAAATTATCTATATAAAAATAGGAAATAAATCAGCTCAGCATTATTTTTGTTTGTTTCATAGCTATTGATGACCTTTAGTGTTATCGTTTATAAAAAATTGCGAGCAGACTTTTTCCGCTTTTATCAGAAAAAAATGTCAATAATAAAACAGTGATTTTAGTGAATCTAAATCTTAAAATTCAGTTATTATAGTCTAATTTCAGCTACACGATGAACTCTCTAGAATAAATAATATTATCTGAAATAATATTTCAAAAAACAAATGAACGTTGGTTATTAAGTAATTAATTCTTTGATATTGTAGTTTACAGAAAAAACATTAAAGCATTTGCTAAATAATATTAATTATTTTAATTAATGGTCCAAGACCACGCGGGAGGCCACCAATGCGGTGGACCGACCAAATTAAAACTGCAGTGGGAGGTCCCCTAAATGAGTGCAGTAGAATGGCATCGAGCAGGGAGAGATGGCGCGACATCGTGAGACGCATCAAGTCTGCCCCTTCCAACACTACATGACGATCACGACCACTCTGTCAAGAGTGACACGACTGAGAAGAAGAAGTATTAATTAGCTATAAGTGAAACTCACTTAAGACACTTCTGAATCATACTACCTTAGAATTAAATGTTATAATAGGTGAAATCCCTTTGACTGTACGATTCAATGACGCGCTTTCATTTAATATTTTAGTATTTCAAAACAAGATGACAAACAAGATGACTGACAAACAAGATGAATTATAACAAATTAATTTATAACCGGTGCGTTTGTTATGAACAATTATTTATTGCACAAGATAGGTAGACAAGCTTACGGTTCTTCCGATCTTAAGTGGTTCATAGACAATGTTAATGCGGCCTCCGATCTTAAGATATCATTGGTCAAATAATAAGGTCGAAGCATTCGCAGTCTCAATTTTATGGTACAAAGACTGTGCCGCCCTTCAAATTAGAACGCACGATTGCTTCACAGCAGAAATAGCGTGGATGTAGAGTTTCCATGCGGGATTATAAAACAAATCCTATTATTACCAATTATTTATTTCTACTTTATTTTTACATGATTTATATTAGCTTCCCTTGTATTGTTTGTATGTTTGTAACTGACACCTTTAGACGCGATTTTGACCCACTTTAAACGGCCAGATTTCATTCAAACTTTGGAGATTTATCGGGGACCGATTTCAATAATATCTTAAAAAGCACCACACGCTTTTTTTTTACAATAAAATATATTTTACACGATTTCCAATTTAAATTTATTAAATGGATTTTCTATTTTTTAGTTGAATTTTATATAAAGCGTGTGTTTTTAGTTTTTTTAAACTATTTTTATTTAAATCTATTTTATCCACAACGTATTTGAAAAGAAACCGACTTCATTAAATGAGAAGATTCTCATTTATTTCCCCAAAACCGAATATTTTTTGGTAAATAAAATAATGTACTTTATTCATGTTTTTGCCTCAATAATATGAGAATCATATTACTTTTGAAGTTAGTTTTATACATACATACACATATATAATATAATTATATAGCTGTATTAATACCTAAATTTTAATAAAATGATTATAATAAATAATAAAAGAAATGCATTAATTTTTTATTTATAGATAACGTAACAACTTATAAAAAGTCATCTCAACTCTACCAAAGTTAAACAAACTTAATAAAACGATATTGAGAACGGTATAATTATCAAACAATATTAATTACGTAAAAAAATATTGGTACATACATATCCGATCAAATCTATTTCATGAAACAGATTAGAAAAATAAATAGCCTCTTAAATAATACATAACAAATTTCTGCATTTGTTATCCAAATGTAAAAGAAAATACTTTGGAAACTTACCACTTATACTACTTAGAATACCTAGTTCGTAATATAACAAAAAATAAGTCCGCATAGCAGCATAGATTTGATCACATAGCAGTCCTATTCATCTTTTTGCCTATCTAGAAGTAACACTGAGATAATATAATATTAACGGCCGTCTGGTGTAGTGGTAAGTGACATGGTCACTACACAAGGGGGTCGCGGGTTCGAATCCCGCCAAGGGAAGATATTTGTATGATAAATATAAATGTCTTCTCCAGGGTTATGGATGTATATTAAATATGTGTATGTGTATAATAAAAATCTTATATTTATTNCTTTTTGCCTATCTAGAAGTAACACTGAGATAATATAATATTAACGGCCGTCTGGTGTAGTGGTAAGTGACATGGTCACTACACAAGGGGGTCGCGGGTTCGAATCCCGCCAAGGGAAGATATTTGTATGATAAATATAAATGTCTTCTCCAGGGTTATGGATGTATATTAAATATGTGTATGTGTATAATAAAAATCTTATATTTATTTCCGTTATCTGGTACCTGTAACACAAGTTCTTTACGAACTTATCACGGGACCAGTTAATGTGGCGTGACATAAAAAAACAAATAAATAAATATTATATCCTTCATCACCACAAAATGTCTTTGTAAATTTATCTTTTTGTCACAAAAAGTATACTGCTTTGTGGTAATTATGTGTTTTTTTTTAATTATTGAGCCCTATTGCTAAATCAGAATCAGGTTTTCTGCGACCACATTGTACTGAGTGCAACTTGTAAGTTGTGCGTTTTCAAAATTATCTATTTTCGTAAACAAAATATAATCTGCGTTACTCGTTCATTGTCATTTGGTACGAACACTGATAATGCCACTTACGACACGAACGCGTTACCTTGATCTGAGGTGATTATATTCGTCATCCACTCGGTAGAAATTCGTCGGCGATGCCGCAGGCCGCGAGCTGCGCTGACGCATTATTGATATTTTTTTCTCACGTTGCTTAGAATGCTCACCGCCCGTTAGTCGACACTCAGTCAGTCCTGCTCCGGAACTCTATCGGTATGCATATATATTATGCCCCAGACCTCGCCCTCGTCAGTCAAGCCTTCACGCACGCGGGAGTCTATTCAGTGGATACGAAATTCAAATGTCAAATTTCTTTAAGATTTGCTGCGTGAAGGATCCCGGTGGATCCGCGAAAGAGAACCTCAGGAAGATGGATCAAGTTAACGGGCATTTCGTTTCGGCTACGTGCCCTTTTAGTGGTGAAAGTGTTGAGTTGAAAGTTGACAGTAATCAGAAACAAGTGAAGCCAAATCTTCGTATAAAAGTTCCTCAACCGATAAGACTAAAGAACCATGTAGCTCACGACGAGAACTTCGACACGCTTCACTCCCGGATCAATGAAGTCACTCATTTTGTGAGTACCTTTTGTTTTTATTTCGTTTCTAAAAATGTTAAGCACAACACACGAGACTTTTTATGAACCGCGAGAATAAAAATGAGGAATGACAAACATCTCGTTTTGTATTAGCTCTAACGAGGCTCCGGTTTTTGTTTGTTTTCAAATCTTTTGTTTATAAAAATGTGTCCACTCACTATTTAAATATTTCACCAAAATATATCTTCATACGCTAATTGAGAACGCTATTGATGAATTTCCTGGTAGTATATTAAGTTCTTAATAAGAAATTATTAGTAATTTGCATACTTCGATATTTCTTGGGACAAGTAAATTAAACAACACTAACGTAATATTAATATCGGTAAATTTCCTATAGGTAAGTAATTAAATTATCTCAAGTAATTAAGTTTCAATTACTTATGGAACTATTTTAGTGATATGAAGAAAAAATGAAAATATTATGAACATCTTGATTTCGTAAAATTAGTGAAATTTTGGACAGAATATTTTTAGTAGTAGGCAGACGAGTAAAACATCCACCTGNAACAACACTAACGTAATATTAATATCGGTAAATTTCCTATAGGTAAGTAATTAAATTATCTCAAGTAATTAAGTTTCAATTACTTATGGAACTATTTTAGTGATATGAAGAAAAAATGAAAATATTATGAACATCTTGATTTCGTAAAATTAGTGAAATTTTGGACAGAATATTTTTAGTAGTAGGCAGACGAGTAAAACATCCACCTGAGTAAATACTAGGGACACCGCCAGACCGTTGTCTACCGTTACTGTTCAAAAGAATCCCGAATTATCGTTACAGACTTCATTCATTATAAAAAATCATTTTACACTTAGAATAATATTTGGATCTGTAAGTTTGGAGTTTAATAGAAAACGTTTTATATCTATGTGTAAGCAATACGAAAGAATTTGGACACCGGACATCTCGATCCACTTATACTGCCTATGACCCTTCACAATTATGTCAAAACGATTTGAAACACATAAAATTTATTACAATCTAAACATCAACATAACACGCTTGCTAAGTACCTAAAGATTGAACTCGAATGATATACTCCGATTCTCTTTTCTATATATTATAGTATTCGGGGTAGAACCAGCCATAATAATTAAGTACCACAATCCTATATAAAGTTTATAAAGTTTAAAGTAATTATACTAATCATTTCACTATGCTAGTCATTCTCCAAATCTAATAAATAATTCAATCTTAAGGTAGACAGAGTGCTAACGTTCGTGGATTCTAGTAATCGTCAATTTTAAGCGAAAACGTGGAAAAAAGCATCTTCATACTTCAAAAAGCATTACCTTCGGTTTTCGCGAGTCGCAGACATAATTAAACCCGTAAGCAATAGTAGTTTTAACTCAGCCCATAACCGGTATTTGCTGTATAAAGACATCTCCCGTTAAACCCCACTGAGTTCGATATTCGGTTATCAAACATTACGTCTGCAACAAATAAAATTAGGCGGACTTTGTTTACCGAGTGTATTATAATAATAAACAACTAAATTTTAAACGCAGTAACGCGTGCAAATCAACAAAGATTCTTTCATATTTTCCTCGAAAGTCACCCACATAGTAATAATCACCCACATAATGATTTAAATTTTCGAATATAATACGTTAGCTAGTCCCTTGGTCATTGGACTGTTCGTTCACCAAATTTTTTTATAGTTTCGACTAATATCGTAACCGTTAAATGACCGCAGCTTCCGTCCAATACTCCCAATATTTCAATGTGTCATCATAATTCTTGAAGATAAACAGATACACCAAATATATGTGCAACATAAATAGTGTCTAACTACAGACTATACAGCGTGTTGTAAAAATAGAATCAAGAAAAAAAAACAAATACGTTCCATTTGAAAGCGCCGTAGTGATTTTGAAGTAGTTTATTAAAAATAGATTTTGTAAATAATATGTTTTTATTTATTTATTTTTTATAGCTAAGATGTGTGGACGAGCTCACAGCCCACCTGATATTAAGTGGTTACTGGAGCCCATAGACATCTACAACGTAAATGCGCCACCCACCTTGAGATATAAGTTCTAAGGTCTCAGTATAGTTACAACGGCTGCCCCACCCTTCAAACCGAAACGCATTACTGCTTCACGGCCGAAATAGGCGGGGCGGTGGTACCTACCAGTGCGGACTCCCAAGAGGTTCTACCACCAGTGATAAATAAATACGTTAATCTAACACGTTTTCACTCAAACAACAAACAACAAAATTGCATTTGTGTCGGGTAGCCATCACAGAACACAATATATTTGACAGATATCTGAATCTCGCTTAAGACATTTACAAGTTCCGAACAGCATTCTTACCGTCGCCGCGTCGGTCTACCGAGCAATATCACCCGTTTTGTCAATGATCTTGCCTTTATCGTGTAAATTAGTATTACATTATTTAGTAAATTTTGGGTTTTACGTACATATGTGTAGTGGAGCGTATAGTAAAACCGCTTTTGGCCAAAGTGAGCGCCACATTAACAATTTGGCCCAGTAGACACTAAACGTCAAGTCATATACTAAATACTCGTATGATAATATAGAGACCGTCTTATATTACGCAAACGTCAAATAGCACATTGTTAGCTGTTTATTCATCTGGTTATTACACGCGTATGTAGTTAAAGTGTTAATGTTGAGGTCAGTTGAAAACAAGGACTTAACGAGAACCTATGCAAATCAGCCAGGGAGTTATTCATTGAATTTTCATTGTTATTTATAATACAACAAAAAATATTTTAGATTGGACTGTCTTTTTTAAATATCAGATAAAAAAAATTACCTTAACCGAAATTATAAATAAAAATTTTTTTTTTCACAAACTACTTAAATATTTTATTAATACAATTATAATTTTATTTTTTATTTATCATTTGTTTACGTTATATGACATGTTTTGTATTTAATAATGTATTTATTTTGTGACACTTAATTTACATTACACATTACCGTGCCCTTACATAAGTCTCCGCAAGGTCCCACCGATATCAGATAATTATTATAAACGCCCTGGCTATTCCAATATCTAGTACTATAGTGTTACTAACCTATGTTACGCCCTCAGCACTATTACCGTACTATATTTAAATAAAAATTAGGGTTGTAAAATAATATAAAAATTTTATTTTACAATTTTTGAATATAATTATTTAACTAATTTCATCAGACGATAGTTTTCTTTTTTTGTATGGCAGATTTCGTGAGAATCATTTTAAACGTATTCTTAGGGATCTGATTATTCCCAGACAAATCATTTCACGATTCATCTACGAGGTTGATGACCTAAACCGGTTTAGAATGTTTTCCGTATTTCACGCGGTAGTATCTTCACTTTAATATTTCTAATTTCATCAATAGAAGCACAGTTAGTCCTATTCTGATGATAAGATAATTAATTACTTAATAAAAATCATAAAAAAATTAAATCATCATTAAATTAATATTTCAGTTTCCAATAAGCTTAAAGTGTTCTTAGTAATAAGGTCTTCGTAAAGTATCAATTTTTACAGTGTTTTAGACCCTTTTTATTTGTTTTCTGAGCCCTTCTTCAAACAAAATTTCAATACAGTCAGTGATGACCAGCGGCTCAGCTGCGCCCCTGGTTTCAAAAATACCCATTAATAAATGTATTATTTTTTATTTTATTATTATGTATGTTTTATTATTATGTATTATTTTTTATTTATATATTACCTTTCTAAATTTCCAAAATAAAAAAAATATCACATAAGTAAAAGTCATCCACTCTACACCAAATCCTATTAAAATATCGATACTTGAAGGAAAAGGAAAAGCTAAAACAAATTTACAAAAAAAGACACGTATAACGAAATATTGACTAGTGATCTTCTTTTTCTCCACCTTATCCCAGGTAGGGTCGGCACAGCGAATCTTTTTATTTCATACTCTTCTCCGTCAACCGTCATATCAACTCACTCCTCTCTCTCTCTCATATCCTCATTGACACACTCCATCCATGACTACTTCTGTCGATATCTTCCCCCTCTACCTTGCACTGCCATTTCCATAGTCACATGCATCTTCTCTCTACGCATCAGATGCCCATACCCTAACCGTCCGCTCATTAATTTGTTAATTACCGGGGCAACCTTCACACTTCCTCTCATATATTCATTCCTTATCTTGTCCATTCTTGTCACTCCACACATCCCTCTCAGCATTCACATGCACTCCTCTTTCATACTTTGATGTGATAATTTATAAATAAATCGTCCCATTCTCAGTCTTTTCAATTTCCAAAATATCATATGCTATTTGTGTTTCAGAGATAGTTTAAAGCCATCGTAAAGATTTTTTTAAATCAATTCAATACAAGTACGGACGTTCTAAAACTGTTTAAAATAGAATTTATGGGCATTTATGTTATTTACGAGTTTACATATTTACAAGCTCTTATAATGTCTTATTACAGGTCGGTCTTTATGTTTACTTACATATAGCCGCTAGGAAAACCTTTAAATTGATATTATAATTATTAAAAAGAAAGTATTTAGTATGTTACACCATATACCACCACTAATTATATATAGGGCAAAGCAAAGCCGCCCTCGCCCAAAACATGTCCTTTCAGATTCTCCAGATCCGCTCTCGGCGCTTCTCGGCTTTTCAAGCATCGGTCACCGTCTTCATTGAACTCGTCAAATACGACTAACAGTTCCACGTTTTTCCGCGCGGGGAGATACCACCACCTGCCTATTTCTGCTTTGGGTGGTAGAACCTCTTGTGAGTCCGCGCGAAGAGGTACCACCACCCTGCCTTTCATATTTCGCATTCACGTCGTAGATGTCTATGGGCTCCAGTAACCACATAAAACCAGGTGGGCTGTGAGCTCGTCCACCCATTTAAGCAATAAAAAAAAAATCCACTGAGTTTCTCGTCGAATCTTCTCAGTTGGTCGCGGTTCCGATTCGGTAGTAGATTTTTCGGTAGTTAGATTTCTCTCAGGT